GAGAGAGAGAGAGAGAGAGGAATTCCCTCGCACAAGCAAAAGCGGCTGCCAGGGCGTGTATCAGTTCCTATGGCTCCCAGAATGCTGTTATAAATGTAGCCGATACCTGTAGCTGAAGGAGGTGTTCACCCCGGCGGACGCAGGATGTAAGGACTACCATGCCTTCGGGTAGATTTAAGGAAGGACCGTCAATTTATTTCTGTCTGGAGGCAACAGCATATTTAGCATCACACCGACTCCCTTTGGAAGAGGCGTCTTCCTCCTCTTCTGGTCAGGCTGAAAAAATCAACCTGACAGGCGCGCCTGTGTGGACTCCAGGGGACAGAGGTCTCCGCGTTTATTATAGGGCCACAAATTGGCCACAAACTGCAATATGCCGTCACCGGAGTTGAAATGCAGAGACTTCTGATAGGGGGAATCGGCGAACTGGACGCGCTTTAAAGTAAGTTCTTTGTTCTTACGTGCGTTTTTGTTTCCAAGAAGCCAAAGGTTGTAATCTTTAAATCTCCATGTAACTGTGTGGGCTTTAATGTGGGGGGAAACACGTGGTTCTGACAAATGGACGTTTTGTCATTTACTCTAAAAAGCAAATGTGGTATTAATTCAAAGGATAGTATTAAATTCTAAATCACTATCTTTCTCCGTTTTTTTCTCTCCTCTTTTTGAAAGTGCGTGTCTCCCTTTGTGCCGATGTGTCTGTTTCTTTTTGTGTCAATGTGATTTTTTTCTGTCACTCTTTCTTTGTTCCTGTTCGCCGTGCGTTTGTGTGTGTGTGTCCCCCTCTCCAGACATGACGGGTCAGGTCCTGGGGAAACCGGTCGGCGGGGCTCACATGGATGACAACGCCGCCATCCGCATCAACGTGGGCGGCTTCAAAAAGCGTCTCCAGTCCGACACTCTCTCCCGGTTCCCTGAGACGAGGCTTGCGCGTTTACTCCACTGTCAGTCCAAAGAGTCCATACTGGAGCTGTGCGACGACTACGACGACACAGAGAAAGAGTTTTACTTCGACAGGAACCCCGCGCTCTTCCCCTACGTGTTGAATTTCTACAACACGGGGCGGCTGCACGTCATGGCCGAGCTGTGCATCTTCTCCTTCAGCCAGGAGATTGAGTACTGGGGCATCAACGAGTTCTTCATCGACTCCTGCTGCAGCAGTGCCTACCACTGTAGGAAAATGGACCAGGACCGAGAGGACTGGGATGAAAGGAGCGACGAAGGGAGCACCACTTCATCTTTTGACGAGCTCTTGGAGTTTTACAGCGACGCCACCAAGTTTGACAAGCAGCTGCTCGGGAGCGCACGGAGGCGCGTCTGGTTAATGCTGGATAACCCCGGCTACTCCGTGGCCAGCCGCATCATCAGCATCCTCTCCATCCTGGTGGTGCTTGGCTCCATCGCCACAATGTGCATGAACAGCATGAGTGAGTTCAGCCTGTTGGACAGTGAGGGCCAACCTACAGAGGACCCCCGTTTCGAGACTGTGGAGCACTTTGGCATCGGCTGGTTCACTCTGGAGCTGGTCGCCAGGTTCGTGGTGGCGCCGGATCTTCTGCACTTCTTCGAGCACCCCTTAAACCTGATAGACCTGGTGTCCATACTTCCGTTTTACCTGACACTCCTCATAAACCTGGTGGTGGAGAGCAGCCCGGCGCTGGCCAACCTGGGACGCGTTGCGCAAGTGCTGAGGCTGATGAGGATTTTCCGCATCCTGAAACTGGCCCGTCACTCTACGGGGCTGCGCTCCCTGGGGGCCACCCTCAGGAACAGCTACAAAGAAGTGGGCCTGCTGCTTCTCTACCTGGCCGTCGGGGTGTCGTTTTTCTCCGTCATGGCCTACACGGTGGAGAAAGAGGACAGCGAGGATCTCTCCACCATCCCGGCGTGCTGGTGGTGGGCCACCGTCAGCATGACCACCGTCGGGTACGGAGATGTGGTGCCGGTGTCCATAGCGGGCAAGCTGACCGCCTCGGCGTGCATCCTGGCCGGGATCTTAGTAGTTGTGCTTCCGATTACGCTCATTTTCAATAAATTCTCTCTCTTCTACAAGAGACAAAAACAGCTGGAAATCGCCATGAGAAGCTGTGATTTCGACGAGGGGATAAAGGAGGTGCCCTCGGTCAACCTGAGGAACTATTACGCACACAAAGTCAAATCCCTCATGGCGAGCTTGTCAAACATGAGCCGGAGTTCACCCAGTGAACACAGTCTGAATGAATCAATACACTGAAACAGTTTTAGCGAGGTCGGGTTGGGTGACACTGTTCATCCAACGTGGCTGCATGAGGAGCTGTCCAGAGTGCTGAAACCTCTGGGTGAAAAAGCCCACTTCCTTCCACTGGTGTCTGACCGTTTGCCTCTCTGTAGCTCAGTGCAATAATGTGTTAATCTATATGTGTCAGTCACAATAAGAAGCAAATGTACAGGACAGCCTGAATATGATATTTCACTGTGCATTAGTATGGCCCTTCACCAAATAGGCCAACATGTGGCCACATAAGATTAAAAAGAGAGAATGCTGTAGTTGTTTACAGTCCTAGGTGGTGTCACACTGTAGTCCACCCTCCAGCTATACTTGTTGTGGTCAAATATGTCCGAAAGTAACTCCAGCTGTATCTCTTTTGAAGAATGTTGATGTGTAATTGTTATGTTGCAACAAGATTACTTCAGATGTGTGGTTAAAGCAAACTGTATTAAACTAAAACAACAACAAAAAACATAACGCACTCCCTCCTGTTTTTCATATGCAGCAGAGCGAGGGTCTTTTAGCGTCTTCCTAAGTGTGTCTCGCTGATTGAGGCAACAGATGTAAGCCTGAAGGGGGGAAGAGGGATTTATAGTGGTGACTGACACAATATGTAAAACAGTTTGACAGGCATAGCAACAACCATTCAGAGCTGACATGTTGAACACATTTATTGTGAGGATTTGATTTTATGGGGCTGCATCACCATTTCAGTTGACAAAAACAGTTGATTGTTATTAATCGATGTGCTTTACTAATAAACTGTCAGGTATTTTACAATTCATTGAAAGCCATATCATATTTGTAGATTACAAAATCTATCACCGTAATAGAACTTACATCTTTTCCTGCTTCCTGCATATTGCTCGTCATAACTCTAGGGAGAATTGAGCAGGAAAATATCGGTTACCACTGCCTGTATCTAGAATACAGTAGGTAGATATGGGCCTTTTCTTTTCTCATTGTTGCATCTAAATCTTTCATTCTACAAGTCATTTGTCTCATTGTCTCCAGCCTGTAAACTTAATAGATGAATGGCGGAGACAGGCTACATATATCTCCTTTTTCTGTCAAGTATCAAGGTGTCTGGCTAAAACTAGTGTTCTTATTCCCCTGGGACAGTGTGACGTTTTTGTACCCTTCTCCCTGCTTCTGGTCAGCCTCGCAATAAACAGCTCTCTAACGTGATGCAGTTGCAGGAATACAACAGAGAGCACTCACTTAGTGGCATTGATTTCAGTTTAAAGGATAAAGAGCTATTTGATACAAGTAGACACCAGCTCTAAAAACCCAACTCTTTTCTCATGCCATAATTCTGCACAGTTATCTGCATTGATTTCAGGGTATTTTACTTAAAATTATTCCTACATGACATATCCTTTCATCAACATGGCTGTGATAGGACAAAAACAGCACTGTAGTGTAGTGCAGTGTATCACTGTCAGTGATTTGTTTTTCTCAAGTTCTCAAGTCATACATTTATGCACATTTCAATGACTTGAGCAACCAAACTAATCTGCTCCAGTGGACAGGGGATAATTAGAAATTCATTGTCTCCAGATTAATATGTGTAGACAGGCAGAAGTATTGTACATATTAGTACTTACAGCTAATTAGTTTGAGCAGCAAAAATACAAAACCAAGGATTGCTTCATGATGGCAGGAACTCCCAAAGGACTCACAGAGACAAAAATAAAAATAGTTTAATGTCACCTTTTTTATTTAACAAAAAGTTACCGCCATAAATGTATTACTATAACGGATTAAAACATTTTTAAATCTCTATGAATACCACAGAGCTCTTGGGAGTACATATGAAATCATAATGTTATCAGAACTCTGAGGTTTGATTTGTTCAAGGGATGATTGAAGAATAACAGAGTACAGAGGTAATTTCAATGCACTTCGGCAACAAGGTCATGCTCACTTGCAAAATCCTAATGAGAAATCCACGTATCGTCAGTTGTTTTCCAAGTATTTCTGGGGAGCTCATTTGAAATAATATTTACCCTTAGAGGCCAATTATATCAGTCTCCTTTTGTTTACTCCTAAACCTTTAAAGGCTTTCCCCCCGGGAGCAAATCCAAAACACCACACCGTGGCAAACTAGCATGGAAAAATCAGTAAATTAGTTCACAGTGACAGCGGGTGACATTTTAACATATCAACAGAGGCATACCAAAAAAGAACAGTAGCTAACCTTTTCCATCTTAGGGAGAGGGAAGTAATTATAGAATTTGGAGGAAGATCTAAATGTACTTTGGGACTGTAGGCGTGAGAGAAACAGTGACGAAATTAGTAGATTTAGCCAATGTCATCCAAGTCTAGTTTGTGTGTGTGTGTGTGTGTGTAGGTCACTGTGACTCCTGAGGAGGAAGATGGAGATGTCTGGCCCCTCCACAGCCTCCCCTTGGCTCGCCTGTATCATTACCCTCTGACTGTGGTGATAGATGTAAGGAGGGCCCAGATCCTGCCTGGCACACAGCTGAGTACAGATGGCAGCTCAGGTCATTAGAGGAAGGCCGTGGCAAAAAAGTCTGCTTTCCTCCTTTACACCAGTAAGCGGCAAACCCTTAAATCCAGTCCAACCATTTCTTTTGATCATCAAGACTCAAATTTGTGACTCATCATGTAAAAAGAAAAGGGCACATTAGGGAGTTTTTATAAAAAATTAGTCTCACATATGATCATTAAAGCTTTTAGAGGTGTGCTTTGCAATCAGAGTTGGTTAATTATTTTATTTGAATGATTAATTATGAAATGAAAAGAGTTCCTGTTTAGCAAATGTCTGACGTAAACGGATCTTCCTGTAAAGTTAAATGAGCCTGGATTTGTTTGGTTCCTTTTACATTTGCTGTGAACAAAGACAAGAGAGGAAGATCATGAAAAGATACTGAAAATGTGGTAAATACACTGAGCTCATTAATGCAGAGCTGACAAGGAATAAGAGCTAGATGGTGTATGTGCTTTAGTGTGTGTGCGTGTGTGTGTAAATGTACTGTACACAAACATACCAGACAGCGTGTCTAATGGGGAACTTGAAGCTGGCAGCACAAGCGTCATCTCCAGTCTGCTCTGTATTGGTGATATAAAACTCTGTTACTAAGCAGGGGTTCCGTGTTGTTTCACATTACCATCTGCTACTATCCCTTTGCTTTAAACAGTGTGGGAAGATTGGATCTTTTCAGTGCGCTTGTTTCTTTCTCCCCCCCCCTTTCTGCCTCTTCCCACCATGTCTGATCTGTGAATATCGCCAAAAATAATCTCTCATTACATGGATCATGTCATAGCTAATTATCACCTGCAGATCTGATGCAAATACAGAATGCAGGTAATATTGAACAAGGATGACTGACCATATTGCTTCATGCCACCATGTTGGATTTTTGTGTTTTGTTTTTTTTTCAAGTTTGAGTTTATTTTCAAGCCTGACATCATTATTTGGAGTTAGGACTTTAATTGTAATGGACATTTCTTTCTTTTATTAAGATGGAATAGACCATGGTCCTGACTTGACACAATTAAAACTGCTTAAAATATTATGATAAAAGAACAAAAGCCATCTTGGATTCAAATGTATTAGAATCGAGCTAAATGATTACAAACTTATAAAAAAGTATTATTGAGGCTAATAGGAATTTAATTCGTTTTGAAGGTATTTGGTGAGAAACCAAAGTTTTGGCCACACAAAATGTTTTGACCTGATGATGGTGCCTGATAAAAAGATCATCAAAGTTATTCATTTATCTTGAGGAGGGCATGAATATCTGCAAACTTCCAAAGTCATTGGAATACATTGTTTGGGAACCAATTTATGCACAATCCATCTGGTAGATGTAGATGATTTTGCTCAAAAGAGAAAAATCTGACCTGCTGTTGACCCTTGGAGGAAAAGTCCGGGAAGCACAAAAGTTATCAGGCTTTGTCCTCTGGAGACCATACATGTACAACATTTCATGGCAATCCATCAGATAGTTGTTGAATTGTTTTAGTCGGTGCCAAAGTGGTGGACCGACCAACAAAACAACAACAAACTTATCAAAGACCCAGCACAAATCCTACCACATGTGGCCCTTCATCAGAAAACCTCCCCCAATCACTTAATCATAAAAGAACTTCTGAAGGACAATAATTTCAGACAAATGGAACCATTAACGTTCCTTGTTTTTATGCAGCACTCAGTCTGCTACCTTTAAGTGACTCATCCAGAGAAACATGTTTTTGGATCTAAATTGCAATCGTGTTCCCACAGAATTTGGCTAATGGATAGCACAAAATGGGCCATTCCAACACTTAGCGAGTGCTATCCTACCTTTTACCAATGACTTTTATGAAAGTCAACTCCCAGATTTATAATGAAACTCCACATGTAGACCTGTTGAAACAGCCTAAAAGGCTGGAAATGCATTTTTGTTCTCAACAGCCAAGAAAGGTAATAGTGTACTTTGGCAGTTTTGTTTGGATGGCACAGAGGCGGCAGTAAGAGCAAAACACTTTAATTACACAAGCTTGTATATTTCAGGACTTTCTAAGTGCAAGCAGAAGAGCTGAGCTGAAGCTATGTGCGAGTCAGACGCCTCAGTGATTTCACTAAACTTTACATCTAAGGCGGTGTTAACCCTTACTTTGCCTTAACTGTGGGAGCTTGAACAGACAAAGCATTGTCTTACAGTGTTTGCCAGAATTTAATTAACATTTTCCAGGTTTTACTGCCTTACTCAAGGGTTGTTTGTCAGTCCTTGTGAAGGAAGGGGAAATTGTTTTTCTTCCTGGATATTATCAGCTGCTTAGAGCATTTACATGACCATCCAGCCCCATCCATGCACTCATCAGCTTCTATGGACTGCATATAGGGCAAGTAGTCCACAGTGTGCATGATGGGAAATTTGAAATGGGAGCAAGATTATCTCAAATGAGGGGTATGTAGCTATAATTTCCCTAAAGCCCTTTAAAATCCAGAGTAAATTAAACTTAGGCTGACACATCCACACGCACCACACACACACACACACACACACACACACACACACACACCAAGATCATCTTTCTCACTATGTCATGCATGAAATCATCTAGGTCTAAAAAAATTGCCTGGGAAAGAGAGATACACACATAGAGACAATGAATCTTTATCTCACTGAGATGTTTTTACTCATAAATCACACGTGTCACAGTACTCTCCTGTACCTGGAGCATGACTCACTACATTTCACTAGCAGTGCAGCTAAATCAGCGGTCCTGGTGGAAACATAACGAGGAGACGTTACCTCATGAAGGCTGAGAATGAGACAGCATCTATATGTTTTGACCCTCTAACCCTGGCTGGTTGCTACTCAGAGGGAAGAGAAGGAAGATATTGGGTATTCTCAGGCTCAAGGTCAGGAGCCCCTGTGTCAATTAAGAAATAGTCTCCTGAAATCCAGAATTGGGTCGTGAAGGAACACACATGCCAACAAACACCACCACACATGC